GACAAATAAAAGTGATTCAACATAAAGAGTTAAATCATTTTGGAAAAAAAGATTTCAAATCATGCTCTAGTTGTACTAAAACTTATATTTCAAAATAATTTGTCAGAAATTTATCTGGAGCTTGTCATAGCCTATAATGTACTGTGTTAAGAACTTCCTGACAGTTGCATTAGCGGAAAGATCCTTCTCAAAATTGAAAATTATTTATGATTTTACATTGGCAAGAGCAATTGATAATGCACTTAACTTTAACCATGAAAATAAAATTGCTAAATTTTTATTAATTTGAAGAAAAGGAAGTCAGAAATATCCCATGATCAATAAATCACAATAAATTATTACTATTATTGTGGTACTGAGCATTTTAATTTTTGCATTTATAAATTTGTTATATGTGTGTCACTGTTACCCTCTTATGCTGCATAAGTAATAGTTTTTTTTTTAATCTCAGTATTGTAGTGCTTTTAAGTGTGTTTTTTCCCTCTGCTCATTGACCAAGGGACCAAGGTATCCATAATTTTGTTCGGTACTTTTCCCCACAAATAATGGGACTGGCCTTGTAACCTAACAGGTGACTTTCCCACTAAGGGACTATTTTGTACTTCTCACCTTTGGGCCCTCAGTCAACATTTTGGTCACCTGCCCCAGTAAGTCTTAAAATGGGACCCTTTCCAAATATATTTCTTCCTCTGATACTGTGCCTTAGCACTAGAGGTACTGACTCCTCCCTCTATTATTCTTCTTACTCCTTAGAGTTTTTAGTAGTTCAGCCCCTAGTAGCTATCTCCCTATTACTAGTTAGTATTGATTTATGTTGAACTTTCCATGTTTACAATACCATGTAGCTTCTGTCTGCAGAAGGGACAATGACTAAAATACAAGTGCCATGAAGATCCATGAGTGTTTGGATGTGAAGTGGCTCTTAAAGAGATTCCCATTTTGAAGGCTTAGTCCCTAAACTGACAGATTCAATCATTGCCAGCGGACTATATCACTTCTTAAGGACTGGATCCTGAAGGTTGGGACTTAGAAATGGATTCAGACTTTGATGGACTCATAATACAATAGTGTTATTGGCAAGGACATGTGACCTAGTTGGAGGGCACAGGTCACAGAGAACATGTTTCTGAAAGGTATATTGTCCCTGGCTTCCCCTTCTATCTCCTCCCTTCTTTTCCTCCCTTCCTCTTTTCCCTCCCTCCCTCCTTTCCTCCTCCTCCTCCTCTTCCTCCTCCCCCTCCCCTTCTTCCTGCCCCCCCCCCTCTCTCCCCTTAGTGGTTAAGAGATGAGCATGGCCCTCTCCTATGGTGTTCTGCCTCACCACAGCCCAGAAACAAGGGAACCAGTCATGAAGTAGAGAACTGAGCAATAATATGAAGCCCTGAGTTCAACCTGGGGGGAGGAGGAGGAGGAAAAGGAGGAGAAGGGGAGGGAGGGGAGAGAGGAGGCGGAGGGGGAGGAGGCCTTGAGTTGAAGCAGAAGGAGGAAGATGAGGATTCAACTCCAAAGTCCACCTTAGAGCTGTTTTCCCAGACCATTCTTGGTACCTGTTATAGAGATTGACATAAAGGATGTTCATTGGGACATGTTTGAGTTCAATGTCTAGGAAAGGGAAGGTAAAGGAAAAGTACAAGTCAGAGGGAGTTGTGGATCTGCCTGTAGTCTCAACTCAGTTCACCTCTGCACAGGGGATTTTGAAGTGACACAGGTCCTTCAGAGTTGGCCTGAGTTGGTCTGTGGTAGTCAGGTTTATATTGTCATCAATTTTAAATTAATTATATATGGATGTAAGACACCTTGGAAAGAGGTGTAATGTTGGATGATCTCAGATGAGGAATACCTATAGGTGTTCAAGACCTTCAGAGACCTTCCCACACTCTTCCCAGTAAGAAAAATGAATTCTCTTATTGAAGGGAACTTGGGAAATATAGCACTATCACAATCAATGAGAGATTGTTTTTGTCTTCCCCTTCCTCTATCTATAAAGCCATGTATGGTATGACAAAGCTGGAAAGCTTTCAGCTGTCACTGGAAAATCCTAGGCACCTGAGAAAATAGAATATTATCTTGCAAAACTACACAACCCAGGGTCAAATTCATGTGCATGTAATTAGGAATTCTCTTTCTTTTTTGAGTGACCCAGAGACTCTTCAGTCCTTAAAATTTCCACTTCAACTATATGCTTTTCTCTCTTCCCATTATCTTCTCATCCATTTACTGCATGCAGTAAGCAAAGGTAAAATTCTCTCACCGAAATTCCATATTCTAAAGACCATTTCCTTCAGATTTCTAGTCTTGAAATCTGTTTTGATGAATATTAGGAAGCTGGAGCTTGTGCTGTGTTGGTGGTTGAAGTCAAGGAGAGGGGTATAGATGAATAGACAGAGGAAGGGTAGGTAAAGGCAGTCATAATATTTAGTGTGTTTATGTAAAAACTGAACTAGGAAAACTGAGATTATGGGGAGGGTTGGGAGAAATGGGGAGAATTACGAAAGGGATGACATTGATCAAGCTGCATTGTACTCATAAATGAGCATGTTCATTGTGTGCCTGAGAGCTCTAGGGAACCCACAGACACATTCTGCTTCTCTATTTTATTTGAGAACATCAGGAATTAATTGTACACCTTGCTGAGTGAGGGGAGGCATATTGTATCTTCCAAGTATCAAAATCTTTCTTTTAGGATTCAAATATGTAGCTGACATAGAGAAAATACTTTCAAGATGTTGTGGGGGAAACAAAAGTCTTCAACATCTCTGTGGGGTAAATTGGCTATTGTTTCTCAGAGACTAGAACTCAGACATCCGTACTAAATCCATACTCAAACAGGAGTCCCCTACCCCTGACTGATACGGAAATAAAGCAGAGAAAAAGACATGAACTCTTCTCAAGGGTTCCAAAATATTTCCAGATAGGAATGTGTTAAAGAAGAATGTGCTACTCAGGAACCCTCTGGTTTTTCCATATGAAGAGACAGCCATCTTTCTCCGCATGTCTCTTCTACACTAGATCCTGGTGTGGGTCTAGCACAAAGACTGGCCTTCTCTGCCAGTACAGCGGTGTTCTGATAACCAGAGTGGAAGGACCAGATAAGGAATGGACAATACATTTGCAGTTACACCTGTTTCCTTTCCATCCTGGCCCTTACTTAGTTGTACACTTCTTTTGTGTCACAATTTCCCCATTTGTGAAGTGGGGTTGGTGATAATCCACTTCAAATGGCTAAGATTATCATTATCACTCAAAGAAAATAAGGATCAGACATTTCATAAATTCACTGGTTGTTAATTCCATCAGGGTTGGTCATCTACACTTTCCAAAGTGTCATTTATATTAAGTCCTCAAAACTGTTTGTGGAATAAACAAATCATATTAATTACTTTCCACTTTCCATTAAAGTCATTCCATAAATAAGATAAAATGGAGTCTTCTCTGTCAGGGAAAAGACATGGATTTAGCTAGGAGAAACCATCCCCAGGTGTCAGTACTTAAATTCATGTATTCTATATTTGCTGGTGGAAATATGAACAGATGGAACCCCTCTGGCAAACAACAAAGGGGGAAAGTCTAGCAAAGCCAAACTTGCATGCATTCCTTGAGACCCAGCAACTCCATCTCCATATCCCCAAGAATGTACCTCCGTATATAAAGCTACTTTGTTAGCCACCTGCCCACTGCTGTAACAAACATCTGCTATAAGACAACTGAGACAAAAAGAAGGATTTTTTGTCTCATAGTTTCAGTCCATGGTCTGTTGGTTCCTTGTTTTGGAGCCTATGTAGAGAAGGTACATTATAGGAAAGTATAACAAAATAAAGCTATTCAACTCATGGCCAGGAATTTATAAAAGAAGCTAAAGTCCTCTCTCTCTCTCTCTCTCTCTCTCTCTCACTCTCTCTGTCTCTGTCTCTGTCTGTCTCTCTCTCTCTCTCTTTCTCTCTCTGTCTCTGTCTCTGTCTCTGTCTCTGTCTCTCTCTCTCTCTCTCTCTCTCTCTCTCTCTCTCTCTCTCTCTCTCAGCTTGAACTCTGGGCCTGTTCCTCAGCTCTTCAGCTCAAGGCTAGTGCTCTACCACTTGAGCCACAGGGCCACTTCCAGTATTCTGGTGGTTAATTGGAGATAAGCGTCTCATGGACTTTCCTTCCTGGGCTGGCTTTGAACTGCAATCCTCAGACCTCAGCCTCCTGAGTAGCTAGGCTTACAGGTATGAGCCACTAGCACCCGGCTTCCTAATCTCTTTCAAGGGCATATGCTCCTCCCAACTCCATCCCACCCCATCCACCAGACCTAAAACCTTCTATTAAGGCCCATCCTTTGAAAGTCCCATTACCTTCATTACTGCCCAATAGCATCACAGACAGGAGACCAACATGCAAGCCTTTGCAGGGATGTTCTAGATCCAAACTTTAGCATTTAACTTTATGTTTGTAATAGCAACAATAGAAAGTAACCTAAAAGCCATCTAACTAGGGAATCAATATATCGGTATACTTGTGTGTGTGTGTGTGTGTGTGTGTGTGTGTGTGTGTGTGTGTGTGTGTGTGTGTGTGTGTGTGTGTGTGTGTGTGTGTGTGTGATGGACCTGGGGCTTGAAACTCAGGGCCTAGGCCTGACATGTTTCTTCTCTCTCTCAAGGCTAGCACTCTACCACTTAGAGCCACATAAAGCTCCACTTTCAGCTTTTTGGTGCTAATTGAAGAGTCACAGACTTTCCTTTGTGGGCTGTCTTCTAACCACGATCCTCAGATTTCAGCCTCCTGAGTAGCTAGGATTATAGGTATGAGCCATCCACACCTGGAATTTCTTAATATAATAATTTACAAAAATAAAATTAGTAAGATATGTATGTGCCAGTGCATATGGCTCTTATGTCTATAATTTTGAGAAAATATTTGTCATTTAAAAATAGTTGTGGGCGACGCTCGCGCTCCCTCATACACATGCTCGCCACCCGGCTCGAGATGGGGGCGGCAGCAGCGGGGGGACTCCGGACTCTCGGGACATGGGCACGTTTTCGGTGGAAGACGGAAGGTGGGGGGCGGCGGCAGCGGTGGCCAGCGGGGACCGCTGGGAAGGCGAGGACAAGGACGAGGATGAGGACGAGGACGTCCAGGATAACTGGGATGATGATGATGAAGAAAAAAAGAAGAGGCAGAAGTAAAACCAGAAATAAAAATTTCAGAAAAGAAAAAAATAGTGGAGAAAATAAAAGAAAAAGAACGACAACAGAAGAAAAGGCAAGAAGAAATTAAAAAGAGATTAGAAGAACCTGAAGAACCTAAAGTGCTAACACCAGAAGAACAATTAGCAGATAAACTGCGGCTAAAGAAACTACAGGAAGAGTCAGACCTTGAACTAGCAAAAGAAACATTTGCTGTTAATAATACAGTTTGTGGAATAGATGCTATGAACCCATCTTCAAGAGATGATTTCACAGAATTTGGGAAGTTACTAAAAGATAAAATTACACTGTATGAAAAGTCATTATATTATGCCAGTGTTTTGGAAGCCTTAGTTCGAGATGTGTGTATTTTGTTGGAAATTGATGACTTGAAAAAGATTACCAATTCATTGACTGTGCTTTGCAGTGAAAAACAGAAGCAAGAAAAGCAAAGCAAAGCCAAAAAGAAGAAGAAAGGCGTGGTTCCTGGAGGGGGATTAAAGGCCACCATGAAAGACGATCTGGCAGATTATGGTGGGTATGATGGAGAATATGTACAAGACTATGAAGCTTCATGTGACAGTTTCTCTCTCCTAGTGTCTTCTTTCTGTTGCCCACAATCCCTTCAACATGTAGCACAACTTCTTTTCCTTTCAGTTCTGCCAAATGCTACAATCAGAAGTGCAGTATCTTTTGTGTTGGTTATTTAACCCCTTGACACTTAGGTGCTAATGTGCAAATGAGGGAACTTGGACCTTGCTGCCAAGGGGTTAAAATTGGGAACTTAAGTTGCTACTAAATCATAGTCTAAAAACAAAACAAACCTAATAATGTTGTCATTGTTGCTATCTAATCCCATGGCAGCAGTCACTAAATTGGAAACAAAGGTTGCAATGTGACAAAAAATTGTGTAGTATTACCAGCACGGTTCAGTAAGACAGCCTTAACCATACCTCCTTGAACTACTTCATACTTGTCAAGAAAAGCAGTTTGCAGCCAGGGCATGTGGTGTGCACCTAGTATTAAAATTACTTTGTCTAAGAAAATAAAAAATAAAAAAATAAAAATAGTTGTGATATACATAGTTGAAAAGTCACAGCAGTGCCATGTTTTGCTTAGGATACAAACACATATAATTTAAATATAAAGAAATTCAAGGAAGGACAAAAATATACTTAGAATATGGGTTACCACTGAGGCAAAGAGTGAGTTTGAGCCGGGCGCCTGTGGCTCATGCCTGTAATCCTAGAAACTCAGGAGGCTGAGATCAGAGGATTGTGGTTCAAAGCCGGCCCAGGCAGGAAAGTCTGTGAAACTCTTATCTCCAATAAACCACGAGAAAACCAGAAGTGGTGCTGTAGCTGAAGTGGTAGAGCGCTAGCCTTGAGCTGAAGAGCTGAGGGACAGCACTCAGGCCCAGAGTTCAAGCCCCATGACTGACAAAAAAAAAAAAAAAAAAAAAGAAAAGAAAAGAAAGAAAAAAGAAAGAGTGAGTTTGAAATCTGGCAAAAAAAAATGCAGAGTAAGTTAACATAGGTGTGTTTTCAAATGTGGCCAGCATAAGAATGTCTAATGTGTATCCTTGTTACATATCCTAGAAACAAAATTTTTATTGACTAGGCCTGGGACTTGAACTCTGGGCATGGGTACTGTCCTGAGCTCCTTTTGCTCAAGGCGAGTATTCTACCACTTGAGCCACAGTGCCAATTCCAGCCTTTTCTGTTTATAAGTTACTGAGTAATCAAATCCAGGGCTTCATGCATGCTAGGCAAGCACTATATCACTAAGCCACATTCTCAGCCTAAAACAAAAACTTTTCAACAGAGAAATCCTGAAGTTCTCCTTCCTCTACTAAGAATGGGGAGGAATCCTATAAAACTCACCTACAACTTCATTATAAACCGGAACAACCCCCAGGCAAACCAAGTGAAATGATTTACCTAAAGATACAGGGTCAGGTGTTGAAATATTACTATGAGATTAGAGCTCAGATTTTCCATGTCCCCAGCCAAAGGCTGTTACACTTCTCTTTCCAATTGCATTTGGTCCCAGGCTTTTCCTCTTGTGCTAAGCAGAAACCTGGACACAGATGTGAGCCAAGACATAAGAGAGAGTTCAGACACCTGGTATGTAAACCACACACATTGGAGTTACAGAGAATAGGATTAGATGAAGCCAAGAAGGCAGAATGTTCTTGAATAGTTGTTTAAACAGCTTCTCCAATGGCTTGATTGTCCTTTGTTGGAATAATTTGGGGGGCTTTTCTAGAAAAGGCCATGGTTATTCACATTTCCATTGGGTTTCCTCATCAACTCAATCTGACAGTTATAAAGCTTTACATCCCTGAAGCACCCAAGGAAGGAGAAATCACAAGTTTAGCAGGATTATAGTAACATGTTAATGAATAAGAAAAATCAAGCCTTTATGTGTATAATTTCATGTTCAAAATAAGACCAAAATGATACCCTAGTTAAATTTACGTCAATGTTAATTTTCATGCCTTACTTTAATGTTCATCCATGCTGTATAATGTACTTATTCTCTATACTTTTTTTTTGGTCAGTCTTGGGGCTTGAACTCTCGGCTTGGGTGCTGTTCCTGTGCTCTTCAGCTCAAGGCTCCACTGTTTGAGCCACAGCACCACTTCCAGTTTTCTAGTGGTATAATGGAGATAAGAGTCTCAGGGAGTTTTTTTGCCCAGGCTGGCTTTGAACTGTGATCCTTAGATCTCAGCCTCCTGAGTAGCTAGGATTATAGGCATGGCCATCAGCACCCGGCTTTTCTATACTTTTAAGCTCCTCTTCTCTCTAAGTTTTCACACAGATCTGGCCAGCCAAGTGTGCTTTGTAACTTATGACAAGTTCATAGAGTTCTTGCTGCTTGCTCTTCCTTTCACGCGTTCTAATGCCTTTTGGAAGTTTTAACCCAACGTTTTCAAAGCAAGATGTGGGAAACATAGATTAATTGCTTGGGATGGGAAAATTTGAGCAATTCCTATTGAGCCAGTCTTCCCTTCTAACTTGGAGACATTCTTATCCCATTTCTTTAATCCATGAGTTCATAGCTGTTGCTCCGTCATGAGAGTAGCATGCCACCCATTTCAGAAAACTCTAACCCAGAGCCACACAATCCTGCTACCACTCCCCACCACCAGGGAGAATTCAACCTAGTGCTTAGGCATGCCTGACTCCCTGCCATAATGTCCCCTCCTCCTTATCAATAATCCATGTAGTGTTTGGACTTGGTCCTTTGAAAGCCTTTATTTCTTACTTCCACTCATTTTTTCAATGAATATATGCAAGTAAATAGGTCCCAAGTTTCCTTAGAAAACGTATCTGGATAAGATTCATAAATTTCACAATGCTATATGGTTATTGGATCTCCTATAAGCCCATGGCATTTCTACCAAGCCACAAGAATGCTATCACACATTTGCAAGCCACTTCATACCTATGCCTGATAAAGAAGCAGGTGGAAGAGATCCAGAACCAGTTTTTGGGCTCAAGGGAAAACCGTCCTCTCTCAGGCTCTTGTTTCTGTTGGGCTTGGGACCCATGCTAAGTGAGCCAGGGACCTCTGACAGGGTAGGTTGATGCATCTTGCTTTCCGTTATCTCTATGTGTATTCCTGAGGAAAAGAGCATGAGCAAGGAGGAAAGACAAGGGAGGACTATGAACTCTGACACTGTAAGAGAGGCTTTTGGGGCTCCACAGGCAGGTAGAAAGGGAAGGGCTTCTTGTGCAATGAGCAGGATTCAAGCCCAGAGATATCAAGGCCTTTCAAGAAACTTCATTTGCTCAGGGCTAATGCTCTACCACTTGAGCCACAGCACAAGTTTCAGCTTTTTCTGAGTAGTTTATTGGAGATAAGAATCTTATCATCTTTCCTGCCCAGGCTGGTTTCAAACTACCATCCTCAGATCTCAGCCTCCTGAGTAGCTAGGATTACAGGTGTAAGCCACCAGCACCTGGCTCTAACTCAGTTTTTAACAACACTGTTTTACCATTCATTCATTAAGTCTAATCTAGAAATATACAGTATTCTTATACATATATATATTAAATATACTGTACAGAAGGGTTACAGTTACATGAGTAAGATAATGAATACATTTCCTATCAAGCATTGTTATCCCCTCCTTTGTTTTCCCCCTATCATCCCTTCCTTTCCCACCTCCCTAACTCATCCGTCCCTGCCCCTAAGTTTTAAAGTTTGTTTTCAATATAGTGTCTTGTACATCTCATTTTTACAACAGATCAACCTGTATCCTTGTTTCAGCATTTTGTTATTTCCCTACCCCTCCCCAAATTAGATAAATGTATATACAAGATGCAGGGCAGCAGAACGGAATACAGTGAAAACAGGGGTTATTCCATGGGGGAAGAACATACAAAAGAAACAAAAAAAAAATCACATAGTACATTAAAAACAACAGCAACAAAAATAATAACTCTTGTGTCCATATCTTGGGGTTCATTTCACTTAGCATCAGCTTATACAGTCATATGTACATAGCTTTTGACTTTTTCTGCTTGTCTAGTAAGAGTATCCTAGATGTATACTAATTATTACAAATAAGAGAAACCATGGAAGCTATGTTTATTTGGGTCTGGCTTACTTCGCTTAGTATAATTTTTTCTAAGTCTTTCCATTTCCTAACATATGGGGCAGTGTCATTCTTTCTGATGGAGGCATAGAATTCCAATGTGTGTGTGTGTGTGTGTGTGTGTGTGTGTGTGTGTGTGTGTGTGTGTGTGTGTGTGTGTGTGTATCACATTTTCTTGACCCACTCATATACTGAGGGGCATCTGCATTGGTTCCATATCTTAGCTATGGTGAATAATGCTACAATAAACATGGTTGTGCTGGTAGCTTTGTATGATTTGTTTGTATGATTTGTTTGTGATTGTTTGGGTAAAAGCTCAAAAGTTAGATTGCTGGGTCATAGGGGAGCTCTATGTGGAGTCTTTTGAGGAGCCTCCATACTGCTTTCCAAAGTGGTTGAACAAGTTTACATTCCCACCAACAGTACAATAACATTCCTTACTGCCCATATCCCCTCCAGCATCTGCTGTTATTAGATTTCTTGATTATAGCCATTCTAACTGGGGTGAGATGGAATCTCAATGTTCTTTTGATTTGAATTTCTTCTTTGGCTAGAGAAGTTGAGCATTTCTTCATGTGTCTATTGACTATTCTTATTTCCTCTTCAAAGAATTCTCTCTTTATGTCTTTAGCCCACTTATTAATCGGGTGGTTGTTTCTTTGAGGATTTGTTGTTGGGGATTTAATTTTTTGAGTTCTAAGTATATTTCAGATATGAGACCCTTGTCCATTGTATGCCTAGTGAAGATCTCCCAATCTGTGGGCTTCCTATTGATCTTGCTTGCCATGCAGAAGCTCTGCAGTTTCATGCAATCTCATTCGCCCAATCTTTCTTTGATTTGTTGTTTCTGGGTCTTTATTAAGAAACTTTCGGCCTGTGCCAAGGAGCCCTAGAGTCGCTCCTATTCCTTCCTGTAATGTTTTCAGAGTGTCTGCTTTGACTTCGAGGTCTTTGATCCATTAGAGTTGATTCTGGTGCAAGGATCTAGTTTTAGTTTTCTACAGGTGTTTAACCAATTTTGCCAGTACCATTTGCTGAAGAGGCTGTCTTTCTTCCATTCTATTCTTAAATTGATTGAAATCTACCTATGGTTTAAACATTGTTTAGTAAATGGCACCCTGGTTTCCTTTGAGCTGTCTGAATGGCTGAACATGTACTGAAGGAGAGGGAAAGGCTAGTTGATACTTTGTGGGTTCTTCCTGTTAGTATTGAATTTTTCTTCAGAAGGACTTAAAATGTAGCATAACAGAATTTGCAAAAATGAGCTAGTGGAATGAATCTTCTGTCTTCTGAGAATCATCATATTCCCCTCATATACCACCACCAAACAGAAGATACTTATGTCTTTACTCCTATTAACAGACCATACTGCCCTTACTGAACAACGACATACTAATGATCATAAAGCGCTTAA